GGGTTGTAGGGTACACAAAGGGCAGAGTGTTTCCAGGTGGGATTAGAGGTTTTTAAATGTTTCTGCGGAAATGCAGTTTGCGCTGTTTTGAATGGATTTGAGTTATATGAGATTTCACTGTGAGGTGGAAGATGTTACTATTAAATGTGTATTCAGTAGAACAAAAATACACTTTTATTCTAGGTGAACAGACGTTTTGTGCATAGTGCTTTAAAAAGAGGATTCTTGAGATTATTATTATTCAGGGTTAAACTAATTCTGCATGTTTCTGAACATACATTTCACAGTTTAGAGATGCAAAATTAAATGTAAACAACAAGGATTACAGTTACTTAACTCTATTTCAGGCAAACCTTTTTGAATTACTTTTTATTGTGTATTAAGGGGGGAAGTTGTTCACTACCAGCAGGGGGAGACTTTGCCCATACATGGCTGAACTATGAAACTTAAGGGACTTGAAGCTGATGTAACTCTCTTTGGTGTTAAACTCTATCTGTATTATATATGTTGTATATCTAACAAGATGTAGTGGACCTTTTCTATTCCAATACAAAGAGAATAAAGAGTTTCACGACATGCCTACAGCACCAACGAGGGACTAATCAGATATGTTAATAATTCCACAGCTGCATAATAAACATACTTGATTGTAATTTAGTGCAGTGCCTGAGTGAAATTATGGAATCCTCATTAGGGTGCAATTAAAAATCGTTATCTCGACTTAGAAATAAATGGCTCAATTAGTCTGTTATCCGACCTCACCAGTAGAGAAAAAAGACAATAGATAATGATAATCTATATATTTACAGCAAAACCAGGCGTGGGGAGTAACGGGATAATAAGGATACAAAAAAGGTAACTTTATTCCTTTACAGTTTCTTGAAAAATACGTAATCAGATTACTGGTATAGTTCAAACAAGGTGGATTACTAGCGAAATTACACTTTTACAATACAAGAACGATATGTTACGAAGCACATGATCACACATTACACATTTTACCGAAGTTACCGAATTAGTTAAGTAATGTGCTAAATCAAAAAACAGCATGTGTATAATGTATTGCCATTGCATTTGACAACATCCACAAGTAACAGAAAGTAATCAGGTTACAATACTTTTATATTGTTATACTTGGGTTACTGGTTACATTTTTACAGGTATTTAGTTATTGTAACGGAATACAAGCCTGAGCTCATCATAATTGGTCTGTCATGAGTGCCAAGATGCTAGTGTTTTAATTATAGGCTTTCTTTTTGCTACTTGTCGCAAGTTCTCTTTCTGTCTCGCGGTGACATGGCCGTAAAGAGCGCACGCACTCAGTAGCGCGTGAGTCGGGCTCGTGCTTTTTGTCGTCGTTATTTCGAGTGAGCGCTGAAGGAGAGAGGAGAGCGAGCTACCGTCCTCGTGCGGATTTCACCAAACACAAGGCGCAGGGAGGACTTTGCAATTTAAACCGTGCGTATTTGTAAATATTTTGTCAGGTTTACACACAGAAAAAGAGAGAGAAAAAAGAAGTGCCTGGAGAGAGAGAGGGGGGGAGGAATTACCAAAACGCAACACGTATCCGGTGGGATCCACTCCTGAGAGAGAGAAGCGGCCGGAGTTGGAGCGAAGGGTGCAAGGAAAGCGAGAGGGAGAAGAAGAAGAAGCAGAGGGGAAACATTTGACATTTCACTCGCAACAACGCGTTTTAATTCACAAAGAGGAATAATGAGGAACGTTTGGATAATTTTCACTCTCGGGCTGACCGTCTTCCTCTCCGGGGAAAGGGTAAGTTTTTTGGAACTTAAAAACGGGGTGATAGCTTTGGGGGTGAACGGCAACTTTACGGACCACTAGCTGTTTTTATTTTGCAGTTTGAGAAAACCCGAGCAGTTCAATGGAAACAGTTACATGTTTCTACTCATCGTGTGTGCAATGCACTGCTTTACTATGCGGGATTAAAAAAGGAAAAACGCTGCATGCGTAATTCCCCAAGAAGTTTCCATTGAATCTCTGTCTGACATCCAAGCAGACAGGCCTATTGCTGCTACTTTGCATGAGCCCAAGACCATTTTCCTTAAAGCATATTAGATACTGAAATATGCATGAAGCTTAAGTACAGTCTGTAGAGGTCAATGTGATTCTCTCACTGCTTCCATGTAGGTGTTCAGCATATATATATTTGTTAAACATGGAGCACAACTTTAAAGGGATGCTTTTATCTGTAGCCTAAAACACTTTCACATCTATAAGGTCATAACTATTAAGACATATGTTATAGAGAGGCTTTGAAAATATCACATAGGAACTACATGACATCTAAAATAAAGTATTACCAAACTGACTGTCAGAGAGCTCCTTTATATGAGCAGTATTGTAGTGATTTGTTATGCTTTTGATTCCTATGCTTGCTGAAATGCATGTATTATTATTATTGGCACGTATACAGATGAACTTATGTATTTAGGTCTTCATTCTGGTGGCAAGCATTAAATGGTTGTCTGATCTAATGTCCTCAAATGTCCTTTCCAATATTTTGTACTACCAGCTTACTTAAACCCACATATTGCCTTTCATCTCTGTTGTTTCCAGCTTCAGGTTGAAGTCAGTGTTGAGCTCCTCACTGTGTGTGCATGGCTCTGCAAAATTGGCCTGGCTGCTGGAATGACACATTTTGGCACTTTCATGTGCAGCCTCTGTCATTATAGCCCCCTCCTGTTGTTTCTCTGTGGGCTGTGACTTGTCGCTTGGCGCAGTGCCCCTGTTAGAGCCGCTGATTAGCTGATTCAGACACTTGTTTTAATGACTCATTGTTTTGCATGTGGTGACCCTCAGGGTGCACTTTTACATGTTATTCACACCAGGGCTGTGTTTTTCTGTACAGCAATTCAAAAATGACCCTGTGTATGCAATGGCCCAATTTGCACAAAGTGACCATACAATGGGAAATATGAAAGTACAGTACTTTTATGACAGTGTCAAAGGCAATTCAAAGTCTCACCAAGGTACTTATTGCAATAGTACATTTGATTGCAGTACAAAGTTATTCTCTTGGTCACATAGAGTATAAATCCTACCCTAAATCAACAGATTCTTACAAAATACGAGTTAATCAATCACAAACATTTGGCAGGATGCTTGACTATCATGATTGAGTTGACTATAAACAAGATCACACACACACACACACACACACACACACACACACACACACACACACACACACACACACACACACACACGACGATATCTACCTCCCTTCTATCTGTGTCCCCCGAAGGCCTCACTGGGACACATGGCATTGATTCTCAATATTGGCTCTCTGGTGTTGACAAGTGGTTGATAACGTGTTTTGGACATCTGTCTGTGTTTTAATTACCACATTGCATCACACAGGGGCAAAGTGTGACTCTCAGTTGCTTTAGATAACATTTAGATAAATTATTTCACTGCTCACCCCCCAGAATCATATCGAGCTAAAACAGTTGTGCTTTTGTCTAGAAACCATTTATGTTTCTGACTTGTAGTTTTATTTGTGTTGGCTTGCTTGGTCAGTAACACTCTGAGTGTAACGCAACATGTGAGGTCTCGGCACATGTTGAAGGAAAATTCACTCAAGGTATGTGGGTGTGTTGTTATCATCCTATCTCTCATTAGATGAGGTCAACCAAGGGAATGTGGAATTGTAACAGTGTGCTTTCTTCTCTTCTCTCACATTGTTTTTGTCACATTTTCCACTAATTTCTTTCTCAAAAACTTTTGGAACAGTTACGTTTGGCTAATATGCGCTCAGGCCACCTCGTCGTGTTTCGGTGTGCGCCACTCACCAGATGTAGTGGTCTGTAATTTGTGTCATGTTTCGGTGGGAAGCGTGGGTGTTGTTCACCTCCCTTTACATCTGTGATTTACAAGGGGGCTCTGAGTGCTGTCTCGCTGTCTGATGCTACATTTAAAGGATAACTTCAGAAGAGGGAGGGAATTAGTGTCAGGGTGGTGGAGGAAACCAGGAGTGTGGCGGAACAGAAAGAAAAGGAAATGGGAGGATGGAGGAGACGGACTCAACATGACATGGAATGTCTCTGTTCAAGTTCAAAGGAGTTCTGAAGGCAACCCAAGGAAGATCTGTTTATTTTCTCTCTCATGGGCATTTGTTATGGACTTACCCCATTCATGTAGATGATGCAGCTGCTGTCTGAGTTGTTTCTCAAAAGGGCAAGTGAGGTCAGGTTACTGATAAACTACCCTTGAATGCTAGAAAAGAAAAGACATTTCAAGCCAGAGGGGAAAAGGCCATAACAGCAAATGCAAGCGTTCAAAGGGAAGCCTTTCATTACTTCTCATGGAAGTGCAAAGCGAGTATTGTGAGGGATATATTATCTGCTAATCCAGTTTCATTTTCTTGCTTGAATTGGTCGTTTTCTGACGATTAGTTGGTAATGAAAAGATCAGCACAGACACACTGACCTTCGTCTCAACTTAAGGCTGTCTCGAGCATTTTCCCAGACAACTACTTGCTAAAACATTCACACGTCATTCAACCTAGATACACCAAGAACATTATAAAACCCTCACTTCTATTTCCTCTGCGCAGATTAGCTATATTAATCCTAAAAGTATCTTATTGCCTCTCCTGAGCTAAACGCAACCAATCACCTTTTTTTATGGCTTGAACCTGAATGAGGAGTGTTCAAATTCCGATTTGATTCTCCACCGATAAAAGCAGTATGCTTCATCTACAGCACTTAATTTTAAATGTACTATATAATGAATAAGTAAAATGCCTGTCTGCCGTGGGTGGAAAACATATGTTACACTATTTTCTCCACCATTCTGTAACCAAGAGGAGAAAATACAAAGGGAGTGGTGGGGAATAAAAAGGAAGGAAACAATTGACAAAAATAACGAATGTAATAAAAGTCGAGGTCCTAACGGAGCTGAAAAATGAAAGGATGTATTGCCACATAGAAGCAGATGCTGTGCAGCGACTGCAGCTTCTCCTGCTGTATATTTAATGATGCTCTTTTATTTTGCATTACCCTAGAATTCCTCGTACTGCAGACAGCCCCCCTGCATGCTTGTGTTTTGTCTGACTGTGGATAAACTGTGTTTTCTCGTTTATTTTTGTAATAAATCCGCTGCGGACAAACACAGGAGCACAGACTTTCCTGTTCTGCGGACCAACGTGTGCCTCCTCGCTGGTGTGCGTCCCTTCGGGGGGTGGGGTGGGGGGGGGTGCATTCACTCGGTCCCTGTCCCTGCCAAGCATTATGCATTCACTAATGGACTCTACAGAAGGCCGCGGCTGCTGGACCACTGAAAGCACAACCGCCACCAACCCCCCTCTCTTTTCCCTGAATCCATCTGTGTCCACGCATGAACTCCTGTTTTTGTCACCATGCAGGCACACACACACACGACAAGTAGGTAAACACACATTGGCACACACAGCCTCCTGCCTCCCCCATGTTGTTTTTCTCTGTACATTGCGCCCCTCTGCCAGCGTGGTCAAGAAGCTTCCTGTTATTATCACAGCGTCACGGATTAGGCTGAGAACAGTGGCGTTATATCTCCCTCTCAGGCATCTGGAAGCAATGAAGGGCAAGAGTATATCTGACTTACGATACACCCCCTTTTTGCCCCTTAAGATGTCAAGTCCCTGCATTGAATTCGCCGACATCTGCGGGTCGTATGTGTCTGAGAGTAGCTCCTCCTCTTCCGCCATTGTCACAAAGTTGGCTCTTACTTTGGCGGGGACTTGTGCACACTCGTAAAGACTCTCAAATAGTCCAACTCTGTTGACTGTGCATGTGTTTGTGTGTGCATCCGTGCCTTTTAATGTCCCTCTGGTACAGCCACGTGTTTAAAATACACTGTCATCTCAGCCACCGAGGCATGGGGAAAACACATTAGGGAGCTGTGGCTGCTGGTTTATGTTGGGCCGCAGCCACCTTGGCTATAGCAGACTATCATAGGCTATTTCATCGCACAGTAAAAGCCTTTTTTGCATGTGCTTGTGGCAATCTGGGTAAAAACATTTAGACATATAAGATCTGGAACATTACTTTTTGCTCTGTTCCCACCCTCTTTCTTCTACCTAATTAGCTTAGCAAATGGAAACTTCCTTGGCAGACCTGCAGTGGAGGGGATTGTGGTTGTGACAAAGAGAAATGGGGAAAACCCTGTGTCGGGACGTCGGGACGTGTGTTTTTTTACTACCTTCCAGTTCCAGTTGGTAGGGGGAAGAGAGATGAAGGAGATGGAGTGGGGGGAGAGTGTGATCCCTGCCTCCCTTTTGGGGCTCAGGTTTTCCCAGGACAGGGCCTGTCTGCAGTTTGCTGTTTGGGGTGTGAAAAGTGTCTAGCTTGGCAGGGGTGGGGGGGGTGGGGATGAAAGAGACAAACTGAGGGCTACTAGTGCTACTTGGTATGGGACTACTGGACTGCTTTCCTTTTGCAACAGTTTATGAGCATTTAAGAAGTCAACCTTTTGCTGTTTACTTTGTTATAACGGCAAAATAAACTTCATCCATTTTAACTTTTTCTTATTTAAAGAGCCTGTGATAGCCTCCCAACAACTGTTGTGCAATGAAATATTGGGCTACTAGTCATCTCGAACCGTCAGTTTAAAAAAAAAAAGAAGGTGCGATACCGTTTCGATAAATATCAATAATTTCGAACATCGCGGGGAAATTCCTTCGACTCATATTGAAGTTTTGGGGGAAGCCAGAAGTGACGTCAATGCGGGAACGCTTCACTGTACGGCGAGAGAGCCAAACACGGACTTACTGA